AAAAAAAAAATGAACCAAGACAAGCGACCGGGTATACCATTCGAGAAGCATTTCTCTCCCATTTTCTTTTTAATCGAGACGTAATAAGCGTCTTTTGAGCACATCCTTAAGCTCGTCTACGTGTATATAGCGTTCAGTTCTCCTTCTTTTTCTTTACGTTATGCATAGCTTTGTTAAACCACGGCAGAAAAAAGCAGCCTTGACCGGTTGAAACTACCAACTTTGTAAATCGTGTATGGAGTTACCAACGCAACTAAGGTGTCACTAGATTAAAGGTAATTAGTTTTTATTCTCATAGGTACATGAATATATTGCTCGTGGTAGGCTGGACGTGTCCTTCGCCAAATATTGTACCAAAAAAAGAAAAAAAAAAAGAACAAAAAAAGGAAAATAAAACGAAATAAAGAGAAAAGATAAGATAGAAGCGAACTTTGTCGTAGCGCAAAAAAGGAACGAGGCAAGAATGTGAAGTCGAGATGGTCTAGAGGCGTTCGAGAGGCTCATCCTGTTGTTTATTACGTGCCATTTTAATTTCTAGCCAAAGCATAATTTTTTATTTTTATCTTTCTTTTTTTTTCTTTCCGCGATACCTCAGAGAACTTTAGACGTTCGCTTTCGTCTTGTTTTCCGACGTTTCGCGAAATCCGACTTGAATCGTGCTCCACGGATCACTTCGTCTAATAAATAGGATTCGCTTCTATTACATTAGTGTCTATACGAGCGTGTTCGATCGTTTTCGATCGTGTAGTGTGAATGGGACGAGCGTCCATTCTCAATCGGGTGACGGAGAGCTCGATGGATCTCAAGAAAATGCATATACAAGAACGTGTGCCGGTACATTTTCGTACCGACACACCCACGCGAACAGTGATATCAATTTTAGTACTTATGGCACAAAATGATCTGTATACGGTAGCTCTATAAATTATTAGTCGATTTTTAAGTTTCATTTTAGGGGGCTCGTTAGACGAGAAGAGGGGGCTATGTTGTATGATTCTTTGCGTACTTCACAGCGGCGTAAATTTTGCGAACGATTTGCGAATTTCTAGGCGATTCCGAGCAAATAATTCCTAGCAATCACGCATCGATAGCGGATAATCATCAGATAAGAAATTATCTGAGAACGTGCGCGCGTGTATTTGGCAACATTCAAAGAAGTATCTTTTTTTAATAAATAATCTCTCTTTTTTTTTCCTTCCTCTCTTCTTTTTTTTTTTTTTTTTAAATGTAATCATGCGCGTGCAAAGTTGATACAGTATCGATTTGATGCAAAAATTACGCCACTGTCATATCGAATGACATATGAAGTTATATATTATTGTTTTGTCGTGGTTGGATTATGTTGAGTCGTTTCTGTCGACCGAGGATATTTTCCGATTCGACTTAAGAATGTTTTAATTCCCGTTACATTGTCTCATGTGTACATAAAATAATTATTATACTTCTTATTATAAATAAATGTCGATATCGACAGTTTCAGATACGTTTCGACTGTCTTCTTTACCCCGAGTCCTCGATCATATCCTTTCCTTCAGGTATTTTGTCCTCTTCATTCCAATACAAAAAAAAAAAAGAATAGTTTCTATAACTTTTTAAATAGTGAAGTAGTACTCATTAAATCAATATGTTTCTTGCATGAAATATAAAGTACAAATTGAAACCAACTATACATACATGCATTCTAAACTTAACTAATTTTTTTAAATCTGTTGCGACCATCTTTGATTCACTTATCGATACTAACTGTTTAGACCGAATAACTTTAAGTTTTAGTGAATATTTCTCGCATTAATATTTCGCAAAAATATGCAACACATTCCTTGATATATCAGCTTTGTCCATTAACCATTTTTTTTTCTCTTTTTTAAATTCAATTCTACAATGAATAATATTTTATTCGCGCGTCATAGTTGAACATGGCTCTGGCGTTTATATTGATCGAGAAGTAAAGAAATAAACGAATAAAATCGCTTAATTAAACTGAACGAGGAAGCAAACAAAGAAAAAAAAAAAAGAAAGAAGGAAAGGATGATGAAGAAAGACTATGGAACGGAAAGTTCTGGTTAGCGGCGGTTCGCATTTTCGCGTGATTCTAGGTGTAACGTGCAATGTGCAGGCTCAGCATTTCATTTGAGAGGCAGACACGAGCATTGGGTATGGAATCCCCTTCATTCTTTTATGCACCAACAAACCTCCTCTCGTCTATCTCTTTCTTTGCCATTCTCATTAACCTTACGGCAACCTTCGTGCAAAAAAATATTTGCAACACGTGCAATCGCCAGCTTCGAATTACGAAGAGTTCCATGCAACGAGCCAAATCGAAAAAATATATTCTGCCTCGAATTATAAAACCTCACTTTCCACTGTTTGATAGTGTCGGAGTAATTAGGTAATTTTTTTTTTCTTGCCTCTCTTTTAAATAAAATAGTCGCGCAACGTGTTAGTCACCAATATTTTTGTTCAAAAATCGAAGAATGATTGTTACCGCGTTGATAAATTTTAAATAGGTTGAATCGATAAGAAATTGGCTAATTTAATTTATTCAAGTTCCAGTTATGTCAACTCTTTTTTTAAACAGAATTAGATTTTGTTCGAGTAGAATATCTAAATCTTGGGATAATTTTCGAGTGGAAGTTGATTATAAATTATAATCGAGGAGCTTTTTGAATGAGATCTGCGATACATATGCACGTGAATACTGAGTATGTTTTCCCAGAAAAATAATTGAATTATTATAAGATTTTTGTACATTTCGTATAGACGAAAGGGGACAGAGTCATTTAAAACATCAGGATTCTTCATTTCGTCTCGTGGATTGTTTCCATTCGAAGAAATTCTTCGATTTTAAAACAAGATAAAATCACGAGAAACAAGATTAAATTTTTTCATCACATCCGTTTCTTTCTTTCGCCAATTTTTTTTCCTTTCAATCAAAATTTAATCATCTTGTACATCTCAATTCTATATAAATCACGATCGAAATCAAGACGATCACCGATTCAAGACGTGTGATTTGTTCATAGCGAGGATTTTGGCTTGGTTTCTGGCCTGAGAGAAAAAAAAACGCGAAACATTGGCACGCGTTTTCATGAACGGCCCCGTCGTTCTCGCTTCCCTCACTTTATTTGCAACGCCGTTTCTGCTGACACCGCCGCTCGACGATGAATCCATCGAGATGGAACGTCGGTAAACAAAACGTTCACCTCTTTCGGTGAAACCCGCAGCTCTGCAT